CAGGATCACTGTGACCACTTATGGGTTCTAGGTCGAGTTTTAAGAAATTCCTTGAACCCAAAGAAATTTGGTCAAAACTGGACAAAGTTAACTTCAGCATTACTTTGTCTGGAATAAGACAACTGCAGAATTAGGACCCACAACCTTCTTCCAAAATGATGGCCAAATCTGCCTGTTATTAAACTTCAACATCAGGCTTCAAATGGGAGAAGAACATGATTCCTGAAGTATAAATCTGGTGAAGAGATGTTAAGAAGTTGGAAGTACTGTGTTATAACCGAACTGTCCAGCTGAGATAAAGCTATGCCTTTACCTGGCTCATTTTACAAACACACATTCCCTTATTTTCAGTCCTGAGTGCTGAGACTAAGTCTGCTACGTGTGCTGATGTATATAATGCACATCTCCCTTTCCACTAAGCCATAAGCTTATGCAGAACATGAGACAAAACAGGCAGTGCAGATGAAGTTGTTTTAGAGAGCTGCTCAGAGGAGGTCACGGCTCGAAATCCTCCTCACGTGAAGGTGGAGCTGCATGCCCCATTTCCCAAGGCTCTTCCAGAAACACTCCTCGAATACTGGTTATACCTGGGTTAAAACAAAAATTAAGTTCACTGTTGCTAGCAGCAGCATGAGGAGAACCATCAGGGAAGAAGCACCCTCTTGTCCCAAGGAGGTCTTGAAGCAAACACAGCACTTAACAGCCAGGAGCCAGTGATCAGGGTCAGGAGATAAAGACTGGGATCAGGACCAGGGGCTGCAGAGCAGGGGCATGACACAAGGTCTGCCCCCTTTTCTGTGCCCGTGTTTGCCTGTCCATGAAGGAGAAATCCTCTCATGGTAGTAAACGGTAAAGAAATGATATTTTGTCCAGGGGTTTGATGTATTTAGGTTATACAAATATCAGATAACGTGAAGGAGAGTTGCGTAAAAGTGTGACTAACACAGTGCACACACAGATGCACTCTCACGTGTTTGCAGGATCACATCCTTATTCGGTTCTTCCAGTGCTTTTTTCACAAAAAATAATTCCTAATTTAGGGAGGGAAAGTTTTATTTAATTATCTTCATTTATTTTTGGTTCGAATTGACCAGCTGCACATCTTCCACTGGCTTTATCAAAGAAGCCACCAGTACCAGAGCACATCTAATTTTAAGTGGGCTTTAGCTGGCAGACTTAAAATTGATCATGCATTTTAGTTGCAGTAACTTGCAATTTCTGCACTCTTTGATAGCGCACTTTAAAGAACAAGTCTTCTTTAATGACAAAGGCTTAAAAGCAGTGACCTTTCTGAGCAAAATATCAAAGCTTAGCCAAGAGAGTCCCTTGAAAAAAACCCTCTGAATTAAAATGACCTTGTGTTCTGAAACTTTGCCATACAATATCTGACGTCTTACTTTCCCTTTGTACCCTCAGAACGAGACCAAATATAATTTAGCGGTGCGGTGCCTCCAGTACATTTTGTGATTTGGGAAGGACTCGCGGTGCATTAGGATAATTAAAAAACCCATAAATCAGATCCCATAGACGCTCGCTATCAAGACTGCTCGTCGGTGGAATCAAAGCTGTGCGCGTTTTCCAGAAAATTCAATAAAACTCTGTAAGATGTTCAACCGATCACCAATATTTTCTTCTGCTCACAAGAAAATCTTCTTTTCTGCGCAGCAAAATAATTTCTCCGATTGAAACCGCAGTCGGGAGAGATTCGGGGCAGCACAGGAGTATCTGCTGTCACCAGCACAATTACAGCTCTGTTGCAGAAGGGCTGGGAGAAGGAGGGAGCTCGGGTCCCTTTTCTTCCGGCTGCACCAGAAACGAGCGTTTTTGTTAGGTGTAACACAAGACCTGTGAGCGGCACCGAAATGAGGCATCACCTCGAGAAGGGTCGCCTCCCTCGACGCTGGTGAAAAATGTGATGCCTTTTTGTACAGAGGTTTTACAGAGACTGACACAATCTTCCCTGCCACCGCAAAAATCAGTCAAATTAAATAAATAAGAAGCACAAATAAAGCGCTGACCGCGCTCAAGGTGGTTGCACCAGAGCTGTTTTATGGGCAATGAAGCCAACTGCTGGCAATTCCTTACCTCATGGGTGAAAAGAGAGGCAGAGAGCAAATGACACCTAAGAAAACATTTTGAATCCTGCAGTTTGGACTCCAACCTTCCTTGTTACAAAGAAATGTTAACAGCTACAAGAGAGCTCCAACCAACCTTGAATTTCATTTCTTATCACGTTTATAAGCACCTTCAAAATGGTCCTCACAGTATTTGATGCTGGAGAGAGTTTCCCAAAGTTTTACAGCTCCCAGATTGACCAAGATCGCTTTTCTCAAGCTGCTTTGTGACCATCAGAGACATCAGCAACCAAAACCCATCAAAAAGAAGGAAACTGAGGCCTGAATTCAACCAGCTAGAAGAAGGTCCATGCTTCTTTATGGATGTACCCCCCCTTACAGCTTTCCAAAGCACTATAACCACCCAGATATCCTGCAAAGACGCAAGTAAAACAGCAGAATCAAAAATGTCTCGTTTCCTTCACACATAAGAAGAGCGATTTCACCATCCCAACACCTGCCGTTTAGACACAGGGCAATATCCAGCAAAATCCAGGCTCCCAAAGATCCCAACCATCGCTGCTGTGCACCTCTGTGAGTAAATACATTTCATCTTACTGCCCTCAATCACCAAACGCATCCTAACAAATTCCTCCCACTAAAACCCGCCGTTGCCCCGGGTGAGGCCTTGTGGCACCTGCGGCAGCACCGATGGCTTATCAGAGCCACGACAAGCCCTTATCTCTAATTAGAAGAATCACTTGTTGGTTCAAGGAAGGGGGAAAACCTGCCCAGGCTGACAACCAGCGAAGCACCCAGTGAAACCAGAGCCTGTTTTTTGGCAAGGAGCTCCCCGTGGCGCTGCCAGGAGCTGGGGGTGGATGGAGCCCGGCCTGCCAAAGCCTCTCCTCATTGATCTCGGTGCCAGGCGGAGATAAGGCCGCAGCTGGCGAGATGGGACTTGGCGGGGATGCTCAAGCAGTCAGGACCCTCCGAATTTTGCCTGAATCGCAGCACGTAAGTGCTGGTGCCACTGGGGTAAAGGAGGAGTGGTGGCTGTCCCCATCAGCAGTGATACGGAGGGGCTGCCAGGGCCACAGCTGGATGGGGAATAGAGGAATTTCTGGCCCCCTCTCAAGCACTCAGGCCATTAACTGTGCCTTGATATGAAGGCTGCTGGCAGGATGGTGCCTTGGGAAAGAAAAAAAGCTATTCTTGTGTTCAGCATATCTAAATTTACAGATTAGGAATGTACTAATGTACACTCTGGCCCGGGGATGGCCAAGAGATAAGGAAACCTTCCTGTGCCCGGGAGGCAGAGCCAGGCCAGGAGCGCTCCCTGTCCGGGTCCTTCCGCTTTGCACCGCGCCCAAACCACATCCCTGCAGACCTGGGGAACTGCTCAGATTCACCAGGATCTACCAGAAGAGCCTGAATATGCTCACTCTGAATCAAGGCCACATCGGTTACAACTCCTTTCCCCTAACGCCCCATCATCACGTTATCAGTAAATGACAAAAGGCTTTCCTGTGACTGGCGTGTGCAACTCCAACCATCGATTTATCTGCTCTTTGTCATCATTATGGTGTTTTCATTCTTGTTACAAGATTTTTCCTTGAAACACAGCATGAAATATTTCCCCAGTTAACAAAGCCATGCAAAACTTTATGCACCGTGGCTCCTTAGGTGAGTGAGATGCCCAAGCAGGACAGTAATTTCAAAACAAAATAGTACAAAATAATAATATTTTAATATCATGTAAACATATGGACACAAAACAATGTCAAAATATGTTAAAATAGCTTGGACAATAATAATAGAAAATGGGATTTTCTTCATGTATAAAAATGAAAAGAATGGTGCTGGGAAGGAGTAACAAAAATAGCAGAAGAAACTGTACTCGCTCAGTAAGCAAGCTCAGCAAGGAGTCAAACACACAGCATATCAAAAGCATAAGTCTGTAATAAGATAATGATAAAAAAAATAATGGAAGGAAGATACAACTCAAGACATGCTGGCATGAGCAATGGATGTATTTTCATGAGCTTCATTACATTTTATGTGCTAACAAAACAGCCACTGATCTTTGCATTTCAATTTACAAGAGCCAAATCTTCAAACCTAGTCAAAGCAGTCCATTTGGCAAGTGAAGAGATCCGACAGCTCCAGCAGCTACCTGCAAAGGAAGAGGCTCTCATTAGTTGTATTTTATTATCCTTGCTTTAACAAGATGAAGGCAGAGCTGGGTCCGGTTGGCAGCGGGGCTGGATCCGGCGCTGAGGAGCGGGCAGGACCGAGCCACCAGGGAGCCACATCCCATCCGCAGCCACGGGCAGACACGTCCCCACGACGCGGCCGGGGCTCCTTCCGACCCCGCGTTTGTGGCCCGGCCTGATCTAATGGTACATGGTTATGAATCTTTTCAACTAGCTGCTTTCCTAACAGTGAAGACACCAATTCAGAATAAGTTTGAGACAAAATGCATCCCTTGGTAACGCTACCGCTGCTACGGGAGAGCGGCTAGAGCCTCCGTTACAGCTTTATATTAACCTAACAACGACACCTACACCGGACGTATTACCAAAAAGCCATGACATTTGCAGTTTCCATCAGCTTTAGCTAATTCTCGTTAACAAATACGTTCGGGATTAATATTTCCAGACAACTTTCACTCTGTTCACATTTTTACAAACGTTGAAATCGCTCACAAATTTTTACCTAATTTACGTTTAAACCGCTCACAAATTTTTTACACCGTTTTTACAAGCACGCACTCTTCTTTGCAGAAATCCTCCGCTGAGATAAGAAAGTACCATCAAAGCCTATAAATATATAAAAAAAAAGATGGAGTGGCTTTCCCTAGGAAGTTTCCTTGTACTCACCTCTCCGTGTGAATCACTGGCTCTAAAGGCACAGCGAGGCTTTTTATTGCCGCAGCACTTGCCATCATTTATATTGGAGGGTGTAAACGCCTGGAAAAAAACGCTCCGGCTCGCGGAGATCCGGTGCTTTGAAGATGCGATCTGCAATATTGCGCATTGCATCATCGGTTTCTATCTTAAAAGGAGGTGGCATCACCGCGGCGCTGCAGCTGTGCCCCCGGCTCGTCCCGAGCGCGCAGGCAAAGCCCAGACTTGCAGTGCACCTGCGAGGGCTCTCATCTCGCTCTGACACCACTGAGTAAGCACTGGGAAAGCTCTCAGACGCTTGTTTACTGCAAATAAGGATCTTTTCAAACTGCAACCGTGCTCCAGCATTTTAATTAAGCCGGAAAACTTCAAGAATGGGGCTCCACAGGTGTGAAATGGTACAAATTGATCAAAGATGGGCACGTACCTTCTGGCGTGGCAGGCGTCCAGCTCTTCCTGGAGGACAGAGGTTCTTTTCTGCAGCATATTTACCTGTAAAATGCATCCCACGTGAAAACAGCGCACAAAATTCTAATACATACATTTATGCTCGTTTCAAAAAGGGTGTTTTTGTCGTCCATCCTGCCTAAATAAAATGCAGTGACACTTCAGGTGTGTACTAGAATTAATGCTTGACAGAAGATAGCCAGTGTGGCTGCCCTGGCTCTGCTCCAGCTGCAAACTCCTTTAGGAACAGAGGCAAACCAGGTTTTTTTGGTGGTACCATAGGGGTTACCCAGGGGTTTGGGAGCTCCAGCTCTGCTCCCAGCTCCCATACGATCCCTGCGCTCTGATCCCTGCACTTCTGCTCTCGGGATGAAGGTGCTCACCTGCTCTTGAAGTGTATGAAAATTAACATTTGTTGACTCACCAAGAGCAGACAGTTGGGCGGTACTTTTTATTTAGCAAAGTTTTGAGGAAACTTTGCCCAAACCTTACGTATTTGATTTCTTTGTTGTTGTTATTTATTTTCATGGCTGCTCGGTGCTTTTACCCAGCCCATCCTCTTCATCCTCCTCCACCAATAAATAACCCTGACAGGTGCAGAGATTCCAGGGCCCTTCTCATCTGATGTTTTCAAAGAGGAATTTCAACAATTTTGGGAGCCCAGGACACCTGTGCTTCACATAGAGCCCCGCTCACCAAGAGGCCTGCGACGACAGCGGGCGCTGGAAACCCAGCCAGCAGCTCTGTGTTTTTGGGACTGCACCCAGGTTTTGGTGTGTGCAGTTACTTTCACTCTTTTGAAAAGCTGCTGCTTGCAGAAGCCCTGCAGGTGGATATCGAATTCTCCTCTTTTTTTGAACTCATTAAAAAGTGTGGTATTCTCCTATGAGCTCCAGAGTAACCAGACAGCGCTAATAGCCAACCACACTTAAAATAGCTTTTTACTATCAACTGGAAATAGATTTCCCCACTAGATCCGTAACTCTTTATTTCCCACAACTATTTAAGCGAGAATGAGCATCACTTCCATTAGGTATCCCTTGAGATGTAAGCAGAGTTTACAACCACAGTGTTAAAATCGTGTCACTGCGAGCACAGAGGAATAGGAAAGTTTCCCCTAAGAAAATTTCCTACTTCTATTAAAGGCAGCCTTTGCCAGGGGAAGTGTCTCCTGCGTAGCAAAAAATGCTTATGCATTGTATAGAAGGAAAAAAAGCAAATACATTAAATTACCATTTCCACCAAGAGAGACTGCATAAGAAAGAGATATGGAGTTTGTAGATCTGTAGTTGCTTGAAAAATGGTCCTGAAAATCGGTCCCTGCCTTTCTCTCCTTCACTCCCCTCAGCCCAGCACAGCTCCCAGTCCTTCCCAGCACATCCCAGTGCTGCCCAGCACTGGGTCATGTATGACCACTTGCAGGGTTTTCTTGGGATTACCATGATTTCACACCTATGATCACCCCTTTTATTGCTATTTATCTTTCCTCACATGAGTTCAGGCAATGATGGCATTTTGTTTTCTTCCAGCTCCTAATACCCTGAATAAAACAGCATCAAATAAGTTCTGTGGGAACCATGGAGAAGAAGCACACCCAATTAGTAATTCCCAATCTACAGTGACATTTGGTATTTCTATCAGCCAGTTTTATAGCTTATTTCATATAAATAACATTGACTCTTTATTATTCTAGATGAGCAAGTGTTTTGCCGTATTAAAAACAAAGCAGAAGTCTATCAGAGCCTCATTATATTGGTAAATGTAGGAATAACACAGTGATCATTGGGACTACTGTCTGACAACAAATATCCCATTGGCTTCATTATACGGGCTGAAAGAAAACAAAATGATTTCTCATTTTCTTCTGCACCCTTTACACGCATCCTTTAAATGATGCCTGCCGGAGAAACAGGGTGAGGAAGATGAGAGAAAACTGTGTGCTATGTAAGAAATGCTGAGGAAAAAACCACTAATACAGAATCCAGCAGAATTTCTATTTTCAGCTGCCATCTGAAGCAAAATCTGGGGTGAAAAGATACAACATGGGAGTCCTTAAGGTGAGGAAATTGGCGGAGAAAAGCCTTGTGAAAATCGACTGAGTCAGAAGCCTGCGAGTGCTGCCATAATTTGGTTTAGAGACTTATTCATTACTTTTGGAGACATTTTACATGGTCATAATTTCTTGTCTAGATGAGAGGATTTTTGAACAGTCCAAAAAGTCGAAGGTGAATAATAAGGATTTACCTGAGATTTTAAAGAGACAATGGTGTCTTCAAGTTCCTGTCTCAAAGATGCTGGCATCAGACCTTTGAGTGTGGTTTCGTATTCCTGTCGTATGTGGGTCATCTGTAACACAACAAAAAGAAATTCCTATATAGATGGCTACTCTGGGAAGCCAGAAAAGAACCTCTTTGCTTCTTTTGCCCAAGTTGGAATCCAAGTAAACACAGAATTGTGAGAGAAGGGAAAGGGAAGGAGAGAGAAGAAAGATCAGCAAAGACCCATAAAGAGCAAAAGAGGTAAAAAAGAGGAAGAAAGGAAAAAGAGAGCATAAGAATAAAGAATATATGGAGAGGAGCAACAAGTAATGAAAAGGAAACGGTAAGGCATTGGTTGGGACATGGCCTGAAGGAGCAATAACCATTCCTAAATCTCAATAGAGCATTTATACAGACATATATTTGCAAATTGATAGAAGTTTTCTTTTTGCCTTTGGTGGGATCTGAACCAGGTCTGTAGGTGATGTTTGCCCCTTATTGCCTTAGACAAGGTGAATTACCATTACCCAAGATTATTTATACAAATTTTCCCAACTTCTAGCTTTTAAGGCCTTTTTTAAATTTCCTGTGCAACTATTTTTCATTGCACTTTGTGTCTTCCTCAACTTTAGTGATGAACTTTCAACAAATAGGTTTGAGCATCTTAGACACGTTACAAGATCAGGTGTTCACAGCAAAACGATCACTTCTTTGGTCCATAACCTCATTCAACAGATGCTGAGTAAACAATTACAAAGCAATGTTAAATGAAGATAGACCAGCTGGAAGGATTGTGCTTTGTATCTCTCTGATTCGGTCGTATTTGCTGAATTTTGACACAGGAAAAGCATGGAGAGTCCGGTTCAGCTCGGTCCACCGCGTCGCACAGGACCCCTCACTCGCTTTATTACTTGGCTGAATCAGGGCCTCACATCTGTACTTAACTTCCAATAGGATTAACCGCTTAATTCAAATTAAGCAAGTACTTAGGTGTTTTTCTGGATTAGCAGCTGAATATGTAAATAAAGGATAAAAGGGATTCAGTATCAGATTAATTTATAAAATATCTTCAAACTTTCAAATTGAATCTTTCTTCCCAGTGATTTACCAACGCCATTCTGGGCTCATTTTGTTTTCGTTACCGAGTTGCTTAGATCTGCCGTTGCGACCACAAATCCAAACCTCATCTGAAATCACGGCCTGCGAGGAGCACATACGCTCACACACGTGAGAACCCAACGCAAACTTCACCGCAGGCTCTGCCGATTCGGAAAAACAGCCGGTCGTGCCAAAACCCTCACGGTGCACGACACAATTATCAATACAAAAGGACTAAAACCATCTGATGAAACTTGAGGAAAACTCTGTCTCTGAGTCATCCCGACGAGCAGAAGAAATCTCCAAATCTCTATGCAAATAGGCAATTAGAGGCTTTCCTTGTGAACCCCGAGTGAGTGATGCCACTATGCAAATCTAAAGAAAAAATACGGTGAGACAGGAAACCTTGTTTGAACTCCGCTGGTGTATAAGCCAGCGATCGAAATTTATGTATTTGGAAGTTGCTCCAATAAATTCATGCTACTACTTCTATAAAGGCTTACAAAGCCATGCATAGGTGCTCTGCCAGGATAAATATTTTCCGAGCCAACAGCTCGTTTGGGTGGGGACCTTGATAGAGCAGAAACATCTACTGCAGTTAATCCAACACGTCACGTTTGGTGGTGGTGAGGCGGGAGCAGAAACAGGCGGCTACAACAGCAAAACGCTTTGATTTCCTACATTTTGAATAATAAAGAGCTATTTCAGGAGGCAGAGGAGCTGGATGATCACCTTGCCAATACGTTGGGGTGACCTGACCAGTGCAGAAACCCCATGGCGGGGCCTGCACCCCAGCTCTCCATTTACAAGCGATGCAGATTTTGGGAGCCGAGCCTGGACTGTGTTTGCTGTTAACTCTGCAAAGCAGAGAGGGAAGTGTTCCCTTTTGACCAAGGTGTTTCTTGGAAAATCAGGAAGAAATCCGCTTTAAAGCACAGAGATATATTCCTGTGTTGGCTGAAAAAGGAGAAAGAAAATGAGAACCAAGCCCTGGTAGCTGAAGTATTGCTGAGGGCTGATTTCAGAGAGAAAAAATGCACATATTTTGCTGTTCTTTGGGATACAACTGCAATTTGTTTGTTTGCTAAGACAAAATATCTTACTTTCAACTAGTAATTGCATCACAATAAGATGAAAATAAGAACCCAGCTGTTTCCTGTCACATTATGATAAACAACATGTTGGTATTTTTGGCTGAAGTTACTATCAAGGTTTATTGACCCAAGAGATTAAAATAGCGCATGGCAAAAATCCGAATCACTTCTTCTGACTGAAAAATAACATCTCGTGGGCTAACGTATACGAATTTTCATGGGGGAAGGTTTTTATTTTTAACACTTGTTTTTGACCAATGGAAGCGATGTCTGCAGGGATTTTTTGAATGTATTTTTTTTGTGTGCCTTAAAGGCTTTTTTGTTCTTTTATAGCCTCAAGCTGCCTCCCTAGGATCCACAAATACTGTGTCTCCTCTTGCACTCCTGAGAGATGTTTAAAATTGCAATTCTTCAGCCCTCAGGAGGGCTTTGGTCTGCTGGATGAGGATAGCTCTACTGCATTTACTGTTGTGTTCCGTTTTTCTTCAGTCCTGAGAAAGCTTTCTTTAAAAAATTCATTTTGGTGAGTTGATTTAATCCACGAACCCCTAGGAAGGTTTTATAGCTTTTAATATTAAGCTGCCACACTGGTCTTTGTTTATTCAGGTTGGCGGCTAACATATGAGGTTGAGAGCTTTACCATCAATCATCTTTGGTGTCGGGAGAAACAACTGAAAGCTGAAGCTGCAATGCATGGCTCATGTGTGCTGAGTCACACGATAAATCAGAAAACAGAACAGACAAATATTGACACAATTATATAAAAAGCAAAAAGCAGGGAAGTTATAACTGCACAGACTACCATGAGAGCTTGTCATAGTCGTTCTTCCTTTTCAGATGAAACAACTTGAGCGCATCCAGGAGAAATTCAGTATCTTCAGGATGACCAGATGCATTTCAGTCCATGCACTAAGAATTGAGGATATTCTGCTCCTCTTCTATGCTTTGCTGTATGGCCACAACCACACCACATCTCATTCGGGTTCCCAATAGTCCACTTTCCCCTTCTTACTTCCAAGAGGTCTGCGATGCTGAGTTCATCATCCAGAACACACTGGTCCTGGTGCAAAGTCTCCATCTCATTAAAAAATAATTAAAACAAAACCAAATGCAATCTCTCAATTGTAAATTACTTGATTTGAACCAGAGGAGCATGAGGAAAATGCAACTGAAGCACTGAGGTACACATTGCCAAAGAAAATGAAGGGAACACAGAAGAGTTGCTTAAGTTCCTTTAAAAAAATCAATCTTGTCGTGAAGGGCACGAAGTTCACATTTTGTTTATGCCAGATAAGAATCAAAGGGCCGTTCACTTAACTGGGGTGTTGTGGTTCTTGTAGTATCCTCATTTCTGCCTGGTTTTAATATTTGTGAAGGACAATAATTCCACGTGTGCCAGGAAATACTAGGACAGTGACCAAAAGGCATCATTAGGATCACTTAATTACGATCAAATTTTCTCCACATTTCAGGGGGAGTAAGTTGAGAAAAGTAATTCCCAAGTCCTTTCCTGCATTATTTAAACAACAGTACATTACAATGCTGTTTAAAGGAGAATTCTCTTCAGGAGGGTTGTGCATCAGCTGTGCAAGACACATCTCTGGAAGAAGACATGAACGATCTGCTGTAATAAATCTGAAGACAGGCTAGGGTACCAGAAAGGTGAAAATACTCCTTCAGCTTTAGGCAAATCATTTAATCTCAGACTAAAGTCTCATCCTTCTAAATGAGGATAATAATAATAACAATATTGCATAGGTCAGCCTTATTCAGGTGATGTGAAGATTGCTGAAGGAATTTTCTGAAAGCACTTTGAACAGGGCAAGCAAAGGACAAATTACTACGATGCCACCTCAATTAAAAAGAAACCAACAAAGAACAAAACCCCAAACAATAACCCAGAGACTGTCCAAGTAATGATTAATCACAGCTTAATTGTGCTCTCCCTCATTGCAGTGACTCCTCCTCTGCTCCTCCTCCAAAAGTGCTCTGAGTCTCCATGGGCCCCTTCCTCCATCGCTGGGCAATGTCTGTAACAAGGAGCCATATTTACCAAAAGCTGGAATTTCCTTAAACTTCAGATCTCTCGGTGTTGTCATAAGGGAATATTTAATTGGAGCTTGAAATCGTCTCCAACAATTTCTCTTAATGAAGAGTCAAATGATGTATCCATTTTTCCAAGGAAGAACAACGCCTGCACATTTGTCTTCTCACAACATAAATACGAAATATCCGCTGCTTTTCAGTCCACATCTTCTCTTATTTCAGGCAGTAGGAATTTCTGTTCTTGCTGTGCAATGCACGCTGAAATATGCCTCTTCCAGATTGAGAGAAACAGAATGCAACTTGATATAAATGTTCTCGAGTTCTGAAGAAAAGTAATGAACGCTATAAATTGCTCCAGAATTTGGCTCAGTTGAAAACGGTAACGGCGCAAGATCAGCCGAGCACGTTATCCTGTTAGCCAGTTATCCTGTCAAGTGCACACCATGTTGTTCTCCACTGAGAAAATCCTGCTGCACAACTCCTCTGTGCTGACCCTTCCAATGCAACAGAAATGGGTAGCATAGCTGTCCTCTTTGTTTTTCTGTCTTTAGCTCGTAAACCATCTGAGCGTCCAAAACATTTTTGCCTTGTTGTTTTACTGACCCGCGGGGACCTCCAGTTATGCCGAGCTGCTCGCTGCACGCTGAGCTTTCTGCTCTAAGTTGTTTTTTGAGTTTGTTTTTTTTTTCCCAACCTGCATCCAAGAGGTCTTATTACTTCAGTGGCTTGTATTTCCATATCTTTCATTTCTTAAGATCTCCCACCTGGAAAATCCTCAGTTTGGAGTGAAGCAATCCGAGCCTATATAATTCATAGCTGCAAAGAAGAAGCTTTTTTTTTTTAAAAAAAA